TTTTGCTGTGAAATGCAATGGTTGAAAAGTTCATACATTACAGGAAGAAGGGAGTTAGTACAATCCCCTAGGATTTACACAGACCAATGTTTGATGAATCCCTGCATAAGCAACACTGTTTACTGCATTAGTCATATTCATTTTGGCTTCGTTCTGTAGGGCGGGAGGTGCTCTCTGGTTTTCGGAGATCTTATTTAGGTATTATGTAGCCATAGCAGTTGGGCGGGGTGATGATTTGATGCCAGAAACTCGCATGAGGGCTTGCCAAGTTTCAAGATTCCCTTTGTTGTCAAGCTGAGCAGGAGCAAGCAATAAGTTGATTCTGCGAAATTCGTTTCTGATGGAGCTAGAAAGAGTGCAAAATTCAGTGAGCTTATAAATTCTGAAGGTAGACCCCTTTTCTACCATGAAATTTACCTGAGGTGTAGGACGGAGAAGATTCAGTCGGAGAGGGTATAAATCATCTCCAAGTTACGAGAGGCATCAGAAAAAAATATATGAAGACAACTCTTCATGTGGTCACGAAAATACAGATACTAAATTGTCTCAGTCGACTTCGCAAGGACCTTACTCCTTGGGCTCACAACTGGAAACCTCAAACATGAAAAACAAACAACGACTGCCTGAGGTTGCGACCCATAGAGAAACATTGCTCTGCCGGTTTGATCGATGAGATGGACGAGCGGAGAAACCCAGTCATGCTCACGCGGGCGCGCGCACACATCCGCCCACACACACACACACACACACACCGGTCACGACTGACTAACAAGACCCTCACACCGCCTGTACAAGTGAATTCGGAAAGACACGCAGGTGAGACAGCGCGTGCATTGTTCTCCCTAACCTTACAATCCCAGTCGGCTGTTTTGCCTGGGCATTGTGTCAAATGAGCTCGGTCAATACAGTTGGCGAACTATTGTGTTCTTGTGACTTCCACTCGCGTAGCAAGGGATATGGCAATTGGCAACAGGAATGGTTGAGCAATCACAGTTAATACAACTGTTACTCAAACATCAAGAACACATCCAGCAGCAAAACCGTGCCTTGTTGGAACTGGAACAACGAAAAACGGTGTTTTCCCAGGCACTATCCGAGAAATCATCCTCTCCGAGCTCAACAGATTCAAACCGCTCAACTGAACCGAGCATTTCAGACACTTGCAAATGGCTTGCTGGGGTCCAATTACAACCCAGATAAGGGCATAGTATTTGAGTCTTAGTATCGACGATACGAGGATATCTTTCTGATTGATGCCAGTTTATTGGATGAAGCAGCCAAAGTGCGCCTTTTATTGCGGAAGTTGGGCACACTGGAATACAATCAGTATTGCAATTTCATCCTGCCGAAACACCCCCGTGATTTTAACTTATGCGATACTACGACCACGCTGATCTTCGGCGAGCGATCATCAACATCAACATCCGTTATCGGTGTCTGAAAGTAACGAGGAAGCACAGAAGATTTCTTGTCGTACGCCGGTCCGATTAATCATGAATTTGAGCGTTTCCGTTTCCAGTAATTATCCAGTGATCAATTCAAAGCTCTTCGTTTTTGTGGCCGGACTGAGCTGTCCAGCAGATGCGGAAATAAGCACCAAATTTGATGCCACACCTGACATGATTCTGTAGGAGGTTACCACTGAATGCCAACGCATCATAAACCCATGGCTTGACTCACAAATGGTACAAATAACTCCATCAGCCATGGATACCGTAATTGCGGATAAGGCTACCTCTCGAAACGAGAAATCTCGTGTTACTTATGGCGCACTTCGTCACCAGCGGCGACCAAGGGCTTGTTGGAACTGTGTTAGACACTATTTAGGTAGAAACTGTGTGTTTTGAAATCATGTCTGTGCCATATGTTACAAA